CAAACTCTGCTGAAGACTGACTGCATAGACACAATATCCCTCTACAGAGATGTTTCCAGTATGATGTTAAAATAACAATGACCCACACTTTCCTGGGTGTAGACTCAGAGTTTCAAACACTCATGAAGCTCCTTTGGTCAGAACCTGTCTGTTTTTCTTCCACCCTCGTGGATCGGTGGCTCTACCTAATCAGCCTGTCTTCCCATCCCAACATGCTTAGGAAGGTGCCTCCCTTTACGGTCTCATTTACTAAAAGAAAATGGAGTCCCTTAGAAACCTCTACACTCAAGACAGGCGGTGGTGGCGCACGCCTTTAATCCCAGCACTTGGGAGACAGAGGCAGTCGGATCTCTGTGAGTTCAAGACTAGCCTAGTCTACAAGAGCTAGTTCCAGTACAGCCTCCAAAGCCACAGAGAAACCCTGTTTCAAAAAAAACCAAACCAAAACAAACAAAAAAAGAAACCTCTACACTCTAGAAGCCAAACTCCTACATGAGGCCACTGTTAAGGACACTTGGGTGCAAGTCTCCTGAGAAACCCACACCTACATCTTTTCCTATATGCTTTCTCTCCCTAAAGTCAAAACTCATACCTGTATGAAAATCTTTTCCTGATAGCTCCAACTCTGCTTGGAAAAGAAATATGAAAACAAGAACAAAGAAACAGCCAGCAGCCACTGTGTTGAGAGGTTCCAGCTGCTGGCTCAGTGATGGAAGCAGACAGCCCTATTAATGGGCACAGCCTTTACATTTCCCTGCTAAGCACATAAAGGCACATCATAATCACGTAAGCCAGAGCTCACATTACCACAGTTCATCTCTTTCCATCTGATCTTTCTCGACACGTCTACTTTCCATTTTTACTTTTCTGAAGTGTTACTAATCCCCAGAGCTCTGTGCTGAGCCAACATGCCATACACTATGTCACTAATCCTGAGTCCTCATGCGAAGGAAGCTTTTGTTACAGTCAATGATATTCCTGGGCAGTCGCCATGCCAGAGTCATTAGAGGGCCACCTGAGTAAGTTTTAAGCATATTAACTAAATCATTTTCAAAAGAGATAATGTACTTGGTAAAACAGTATTTATTCAATATCTATTATGCATACAGCACCAAGGGTACTACAAAAAATTAAATTAAAAAAACCCAGTATTTGTCAAGAAGTTTGTATTTCAAACAGAAAGGTAAGGCCAAAGGCAGTACTCTAATTAATGTCTAGTCCACTGACTTCCTGCTGTGAACAAAATAGGTTTTTAAAAGGGGAGAGGGAGTACTGTATTTAGATAAAAAGCTATAACACTGACCAAACATAAAGTCATGAAAGCCACCTCAATGAAGTTCTATAACAATTCAGACAAGCACAGGTAGACATATATAATATGTATATATGTATGTATGTATGTATGTATGTATGTAGATGGATTTGTGGATGGATGGGTAGGTGTATTTATTGACAGTGTCTCATAAAGAAACAAGGTTGGTCTAGAGCTTGCCATGTAACCCAGGCTGGATTTGAACTCAAAATCCTCGGCTCAGCTTTCTCAATGTCTGAATTATAGGCACACACCACAATCTCTAGCTCAGATAATAAAGACTTAACTCCTGATTCACATTCTGAAGTCTTTTAATTGGTTTTAAAACCTTCTTGGTGGAATCTTCATTTTTTTTAAACATACACGGGACCATGTCATCTACAGATAGGGATAATTAACTCTTCCTTTTTCAGGCTGGATGCCTTTTGCCCCCTTTCGTGTCTGATTGCTGTTAGTGCTTCTAGTTTGGTGCTGAACAGAGGTGAGATGGGCGCTCTGGCCCTGCATCATCACAGGGGCTGCCCTCACTGATACACTTTTAGCTGTCCGCTCGTGTTTTCTGAGGCTGCATCAGCTCTGTCCAGCAGGGCCACTGCCAACGACTTCCTTGAGGCAGCTCTCTGGCCTTGCTATCAGTCTGAGATGCCAGCCTCATAAAACGAGCATGAATGTTCTGTCGGAATGCTTCCAGGAGCATTTGTTTCCTGGGTTTTTAACTTTTCAGCGTTTGTCTGAGTGTGTGTTTGGATTGCTGAGACGAGGTCTCCTCTAGCCCAGGCTAGCTGCACACTCACGCAAACCTCTTTTCTTTCTAATCACTACTCCAGCCTACATGCTACCTGTCTCCTCAAGTCTTCGCTTTCTTCCTGACTCAATCTCAGGGGTGTATGCTTACAGAAATGCATCCATTCTTCAGAGGCCAGGTTTTTGGCATGTACTTCTTCGTGATAACACCTTGTAATCCTCTCCATTCCGGGGTACTGACTACAATGTCTATGCTTTCCTTTCTGGTCTTACTTAGTTCATAGTCTTTTTCTCTTTGTAGTCTAAGGTAAATAACACATTGCCATTTTATTTTCATTTTAGGGGAAACCAACCCTTCGTTTTGTCAGTTTATTCCATAACTTTCCTGCTTGGATTAATTACACTCATGCACTTACTCACTCCTGCAGACTTTGGGTTAGTTTGCTCTTTTTGCAGTTTCCTGCTGTGTAGTATTAGACTACTCGCCGTCTTCTCTAATACAGGTAGGAGCACCCTCCTTAGAACTGCCCTGCTGCACCCATTCTCATCCCTTAGGATGTCTAGCTTCCATTCTGAGTTCTCTGAGCCATTTCCATGCTTGAGGTGTACTGTTGAATTTGTGTATATTTATATGTTCTTCACTTTCCCCTCTGCCACTGCTTTCTAGTTTCACTCCATCATGGTGACAAAAGATATAACATGATTCTTAAATTCATTAAGATTTGTTAATGGCTTAACGTGGGGTCTGTTGTAGAAAATGACGTATGCACATGAGAAGGATGTGCATCGTTTGACTGCTCACGAAACGCTTTGCAGATTGTCAGGCTCCTAGGATACTATCCACCTCAAGTCCAGCCTCTATCTCCTCACTGCACTTCCATCCAGATGACCCACCCTTGTCGAAAATGCGGTGCTGAAATTCCCACTATGTTTGTATTGTCCTCTACTTCTCTTCCATCTGGTTAATAAACTTCCTAGATTTAGGAGCACTGACATTGGGCATGTATGTATTTACAACTGCTGTGTCCTCTTCATGAACTGAGACCATGGAACTTTTCCTGTGTCCAATTCTTTGAACACATAGTATGTAGCCTCTATAGCCAAAGCTTACAACTACCAAAAAGATCCTCCTTTCTTCCCTGAACACTGCCGAGTGTTCCCCGTGTAGTTCAGAAAATACTGTTGTTTCCAAGGACCAGGCTACTCAGCAAGATGAATAGGATCTGAGAATTTAAATATGCCTACTTCTAATCTTTGTATTCAGAATGGAAATGCCAGGCACCTAACTGCTGATCTTCTGAGGCCCCCTAGTGCTCGAGAGGCAGACACTTTGGCAATCCAAACAAAATGAGATTTCAGAACACCTGTAAGCTGTTATTAAATTAACTGCAGAATTAACCGGTAGTCCATTTAAAAAGAAAATCCCATGGGGGCATCAATTACACAGATGAAATGAAAAGGGTCTGTAACACTGCAAAGCCAACTCTCAGGAGACAAATAAAGGCCTAGAAAATCCTAAACAATACTTAATAATAGTGCTTTCTAAGATTATGGTAACTGCATTTTCCTCACTCCAGTTAAAGTATCAGTGTATCACAGAGCAAGGACTCAGGTTCAATTCTCAGATCCACAACAAACAAACAAAAAACAAAGTATAATGAACAGCCTGGACCCCCGGGTAAGGATGACAAATTGCTCAGCTGTCGGCCTGTGGGCTGTGTGATGAGTTTAACAGACTAAGAGAATAGTACAGTATACCCATCAAATCAAGGTTAGGACAGTGACACACACTGAATGAAGCTTCCCATGCTCCTGCCAAAGCCACACACAGTTCACTGTGTTTGTTAGATTAAAGCCTCTCTTTGGCTCAAACATACATCTGAAGTTCCTCTTCAAACTTTAAGTATACTTTAGATGCATTCAAAATTAGACCACAAAGCTGTACAAAACCCATGCCAATTTGTGAATGAATATTTGTTTTGGGGTTGGCTTGTAAATAATTTTATTACAGAAGTGTTTTTTAACTGCACGTTTGATACATGCATGTGTACATGCACACAACTTAACATGAAAATGAATGCAAAACTAATATTCTGCCTTTAACTCATGCTCACAAATCAGATTCAATACAACTGACTGTGGTCCCAGAGCACACATTCCAGTTAAAGCAATTCACTGGATTCTACACATTTCCCATCACCACTCATCAGGAATCTGTATATAAGATGACTCTAACTTCACCCGGTATTCAAGCTAATTTTCAGGATGTGTCTTTTGTTTAGTTTTTAGCTGTCTTGAGGCTACTTATTAGTATGGGGTTTTGGTGTAGGAAAAAAAACTGACTGGTAAATTAAAAAAACAAAAACAAAACCGTCATGAAAACCCTGTGTTCTGTGTTCAAAGCATGTAACAAAACAGTGCAGGGTGATTCCTAACTGGCTGTGCAACAAGAAGAAGGCACAGAAACCATGGGGCCTGACAGGCTTGTGTTAAACGCCAGTAGCTGGGGAACACACGTAACTTCCATCTTCGTGTCTAAAATGCCAAAGCACACCCAGCTGTTGCACACCTGTAACCAAATGCTTGGAGGTGGAATGAGGAGGCAGAAACAGGAAGACCAGGAGCTGAAGGTGTGCACTGTCCACACAGCAGGTCTGAGGACAGCCTGGGGCTACACGAACAAGGCTGCCTCAGGAAAGAAGGGTGGACGGGGCAAAACAGAAAAACAATAATTAACCTAGGAAAAACATTTCCTCAGAGCTCTGAACTCAGTAAAAGAAAAAACATAGGAAAACCACAACACATAATAAATGTTTGAGTTACAGTGTTCTAGTCAATTTTACTGCCGCTTCTAACAGACGAAGATTACCATGGATTCATGACATTTCACACTGACAGTCTTTAAAGACTGAATAATGCCACCTTTAGCTGCAAGTCAACTTACCAAGACAGTAGTACAAACCCTGACTTATCCATGCTAATATGGCGAGAGTTATCAGATCACCAAAACTAGCAGCAATAGGTGTGGCCACGTTGTCGGGGTTTATGCCTGTCTTCTTTGAGCCAACGATGACGCCAACCATTATTATTCCTAGGAGAAAGAATGCTCGTGACTTTAGATTCTGACTCAGAAAAATCCATTCCCAAAACCCTGAAACACACAGCAGGGAGACAGCACAACAGTTCCGGTTAGAATGCTCAAATAAACTGATTATGCAAACAAAATATTTTACTGTAACCCGTTGGCAAAATGCCCTTCAGCAAACTGCAAGAGACCACAGAAGACATCACTGGTTCAGTGTTGCATTTACCGTAAAATTACAGTAAAACTAAAATTTTGAATTTAATGAGGCATATGCTTTACACATAATGCATATATATCAAAGTACAGATTCTCATTTTAACCCTTGAATGAAAAGGGGTAAAAAGAGGCATCCTATTCATATACATAGCAACAAAACAATGTGGTAACTAAAAATGCTTCATCTATTGCCTACAGTGAAATGTTAGGAAGCAGGATATAATTAAATTTTGAAAACCAGAGTTCAGAACAGGAGACGCTTATAAAAGTTACTCTTAGGAGATGATATGTTCAGAGGTTAAAAGCACCTGTTCTTCCAGGGGACCTGGGTTCAATTCTTAACACCCACCTGACGCTGTGGGACACAGACATACACGCAAGCAAAACAGACACTCAAATAAAATAAAACAAATACAAAAACTCAGAAAAAAAGAAGGGGAAATGGCAAGACTACGTCTACAACTGATGCTCTTTGAGGGCTGGGTGGCTCACTTCTAAGTGCACACCGGCAGCTCCTGTACCCGCATGGTGACTTACAACATATGTAACTCAAGTTTCTGGGGATTCACCTTCTTCTAGCCTCCAGGAGCACCATGCATGCACATGCTCGGCATACATACACGTAGGCAAAACATTCATGCCCATAACTAAATCTGAAAAGAACAAATAAAGAGGGGGTGTGGCGGGTGGTGGTGCATGTCTTTAATCCCAGCAGTCAGAAGGCAGAGGTGGGCAAATCTCTGATCTGAGGCCATGCTAAGCACAGGCACAATGCTACATTTACATCGTCACAGAAACTTAAAGTTTGGGGTGCTTTTCGTTTTTTATGTGTATACTTGCACGCCTGTGTGACATACAGCACACACATGAGTGCAGGTGTCCTCAGAGGCCCTTGGTGTTGGACCCAGCCTTCACGCTGGGCTGTAGTCACAGGCATTCGTGAGCTGCCCCATGTGGGTTCTGGGAACTGCACTCAGGTCCCCTGGGAGTCCAGGAATGAGCGACTGCTTTTGAAACTGAGCATTCCTGGAATGCTTGCTTGGGACAGGTCAGAAAGCCCCCCCCCCCCCGAGAGATTCCCAGGAAGGCCTTTCTAGGAAGAGCAGTCAGTCCTCTTGAGGGCTGAGCCATATCCCCAGCCTCCAGGACGGCCTTTCTGAGCTCACTTAACATGGGGAAAACAGTGAGTGTCTTGGCTAGTGTACTGCTCTTACTCAAGACTGAGCCAAAGCATCTGTGGCCAAGGGGAACAACCTCAAAAATCCCACTTTCTACTGTGTTTATAAATAATGAAATAAACCAGGCAGTGGTGGCACACACCTTTAATCCCAACACTCAGGAGACAAAGGCAGATGGATCTCAGCCTGGTCCACTGAACTATTTCCAGGACAGCCAGAGCTACATAAAGAAACCCTGTCTTTAAAAACCAAATAAATAAAAAAGTAAATACATAAATAAATAGTAACATAAAAATACATCTAAATTAAGATTATTTAAAGTTTATGTGGACATTTTCTGCCATTTTCATCATGAACAAATATCATTTTAAAAATCACCAACCTGGAAGGGCACAGGAGGAGGGGAGGGAAAGGGAGAGGGACCTGGAACTGACTTGTGAAGCAACCTTGTTTCTTATCTAAATTTAAAATGGAAAATAAAAAAAATTATTAAAAAAAAACCACAGAGGAAAAAAAAATCACCAACCTGCTGGGCATTGGTGGCACATGCCTTTAGTCCCAGCACTCGGGAGGCAGAGGCAGGCAGATCTCTGTGAGCTTGAGACCAGCCTGGTCTACAAGAGCCAGTTACAGGACAGCCTCCAAAGTCACAGAGAAACCCTGTCTCGAAAAACAAAAAAAAAAAAAAAAAAAAAGTCACCAACCTGGGAAATGGATCCTTTTATTAAAAGGTCAAAAATTGCCAAGCAGACATTTACAAATCACTTACCCTGCAGAAGAGAGGCAATGAAGGCGGTTGCCACACTGCTGGAGCACAGAAGTACGGAGTGGCTGAGGTAATATTTCCCTTCTGGAATCCAGCCCAATATGATCGCTGCCACGGCTGCTAAAAAGCCAACTACTGTGGCCTGAACCTGAAAACAGTTTTTGTAAAATCCAGTTTAGTAATTTTAGACATTAGACTTTCATTAGTCATCACATACAAGATAGGCAAAACCGAGTGCTGTGTGGCCACTCAACCGCCTTCACTCTAAAGAGGCTGCTGGGGTTTAGTTCTAACACCACTTAGACCGTGGGCCTTGAATCGCCCCATCCCTGGGCCCTCAAATCACCCCATCCGCTGCCTTCACTCTAAAGAGGCTGCTGGGTTTTAGTTCTAACACCACTTAGACCGTGGGCCCTGAATCGCCCCATCTGCATCAACAGGTATAGTAGACTGAGGGCCACATCATTTTGTTTTGTTTCATTTTGTTGTTGAGACAAGAGCCTCACTGTGTCACCCTGGCTGTCCTGGAACTACTCTGTAGACCAGACTGACCTCAAACCCAGAGATCCGCTGGCCTCTGCCCCTAATGCTGAGACACGAATCCCTGCAGCTGAAGCTACAGCTGGTATGAGCCACCTGAGTGGGTGCTGGGAACTGAACTTGAACTCAGGTCCTCTGGAAGAACAGCACAGACTCCTAACTGCTGAGCCGTCTCTCCTGGGCCTCCAGGTCTTAACAAGCATGCCACACTCATCCTCTCCGCCACAGCAGTGATGGTGGCACTCCAGCGAGGAAACCACCTTCCCTAGCCAACCCACAGCTGCCATCCTCTCCTATGCCACCAACACTGCCTCACTGGTGGGCACCTGTTGTGACACGACAGGTCTGCCCGAGTCCCCTGTTTGCCACACGTCCTTCAGGAGGAAGCCGAAGAGGCATTGCATTTTGGCAACTAGAATCAGCAAATTCCTGGCCATCTCTGGCAAGCACCCTAACAAACAGTTGCAGGAAAGAGGATGACAAGGGAGGGCGGGGCTTACAGGAAGACAGAGTGCCAAGGTATGGACTGACAGCAGTGACCTGTATAGATCACTCACAACACAGCCACAGCTTCAGAGTGTTCAGGGTTTAAATCAGAACATTTTCAACTTCTTGATTTGTCATAGTGCTCTATTGATTGATAAATGTTTGGAAGGTCTTGGTTTTGATTTATTGTTGTTACTGGGAACAAACTTCCTGCATGTTTGATATACTGATATACACTGATAGACATCCTGTTAATCAGTGTTTTTACCATCCTGCCTAGACTCCTGCACCATCAAGCTGAATAGTTCTTAGACTTTCCTAACAAAATAACCAGAATGAAAAGTAAAAACTCAAGCCCAGACGATTATGTAAGTTGATAAAGGCTCCACTGCTGGTTTATGTTACAAACTGGGTTACAGCAAGGCTAGGGCTCAGATTTTCTTAGCTCTTAATTCTACAAACTTAGAAGCAACTGCATAGATATGAGAAGGCCTTTATTTCAGGAATTCTTTTGTCCTTGAAATGCAATGCATGAAGCTATATTCCCACAACCATGTTCTCAATCTTATGGCCTAGCTGAGCTAACGTTAAAATTAGTACATATTCCTGATGATCATAGTAGCTAATGTTACTCATGACAACTAAAATCATTTACCTAAGAGTTAGGAGAGAATACATGAAGGGGCAGAGGAGACACATTCCAGTAGAAGGAGTCAGAGATGATATGTAAGTCCTGATCCATTACATATGTTACTGATGATTAAAGGATTTATTAATATTAACAATGGCAACATTAACTAAGGAAAATCAGCATAAACTTAGTGGGTGACCACAATATCCAGAAAAGAGCTCATTTAATTAAGCAACTAATATGCTTAGAAATATTAAAGAAGGCAGTCTTGGTATTGTGTTCCTGTGAACCTGGGAGTCTGAGATCAGGCTGAGAAACAGAGATGTCACCTAAAAAAACAAAAGCTAAAACTAATACAAACAAAACACAAAAAGTAGGGCATGATGGCATGCCTCAGAAGTTGAGGCAAGAAGATTCTGAGTTTAAGGCCAGCCTGAGCAACACCAGAAGTCTGCCCCAAAATAATAAAGATGGGGCTAGAGATGGGGTCAGCTGGAGTGCTCCCTTAGGGCGCACAGCTCTGGTCCAATCCTGAGCACTACATAAACCAGGACTGGTGATGCACATCTGTAATCCCAGCACTCACTCAGAAGGCAGGAGAATCAGAAGTTCAAGGTCATCCTCACCTACATGAAAAGTTTAAGGCCAGCCAGGGATACATGAGATCCTCTTCCCTGCCACAAAAGCAAATTATAGTCATAAATAAAGTAGAGCATTAGCACAGCACATGTGGTGGTCTAACTGAGAATATCTCAAAAGCTTGCTAGGCCCAGTGTCTCTCTGCCTGCTGCTTGCGGACCAGGATGTAAGCTCTCGGCACTGCTGAAGCACCACACCTGTCTGCCTCCAGCCATGACGATCAAGGACTCACCCTCTAAAACTGTAAGCCAGGGCCCAATTAAATGCTTCCTTTTATAAGAGCTGCCTTGGTCATGGTGCCTTCTTCACAGCAATAGAACAGTAACTAGGACAGTACTTAAACAATGAATTCTTAAACATCTGTATAAGTATTAATATAAAACCTGGTTCTATTACAGTATGGTGTACTTGCATGGTTTTCAGTACTCATATACTGTTTTACATTTGAAAGAAGTTGACCAGTTTTAGAAACAGAATAACTTACAAAGGCCATAGGCATCAACTGATGACATCACTTTTTCAGGGTACTAAGTTATTGCTTTGGTGTCTCTTGAAACAAATGGTAAATTTCACAACCCAGATCTATAAATAAACATGTCACTTACCTGCTTTAAAGCCAAGTTGCCAATGATTAGGTTCCACTTTTCAATGGGTGAGTCCATCTTCCCAACATTTACCTGTCAAGGAGGATATTAGCATCACTCTGTTATCTGCTCTATTTAAACAAAAACAAAACAAATGTGCTGTGTGCAGCCTGTGTTCAGAGCAATTCTAAGCTCACCACCAGACTGCTATTTGACATCGACTTGGCAGAGATGGGGAAAATGTTTTAGACAACAAGTTATAGTCCTCCATCTACTGGCAGATGTTATAACTACATCATCAATTATCATCCTCACATGCCCAATTTGATATAATGAGGCCCAACAGAAAAAAACTGCTATACATTTTGAGCTGTTGGTACATAATTTCATAGCATAAAACTAATAAAATCCAAAGAGTTATTGGCCAAAGAGCAAGAAATAAACAAATCATTCATGTGTACATAATCTGTATTTGAGTTATGAGTACAATTATTAGCAATAAGGACTCATTCAGTTCACAGATTTTGATTGTATACCTCCAGTCATCAAAATATATATACATCTTTCTGGTAAATGGAAGAATACTTTACTAAATAAGGGTAGTATTCACATATTCTACCGTTCTGTGATCAAGATAAGTTTCTTGCCGACTCCGGATTTTAAAAATACACACACACACACACACACACACACACACACACACACACACACCTCCAAATTTTCCAAGTTTTTGTAATGTAGTAATTTGGAAAGCAATGGACAATGATTAGCAATACACAAACACATTTATAAATATATTACACCGAGTTAGGTTTTAATTATCCATCATCCAGTCATGGAAGGTTTTCAGATGTTATAAAAACATCTGGAGTCAGTGAGAAGGCTCAGCAGTGAAGGTGCTCACCATCCAAGCCTGGCGGCTGAAGCCTGATTCCTGGAAGCCACATGATGGGGGGGGGGCATGGACACATGGACTCCTGCAAATTGTCCTGACCGCCCCTCCCACTAACACACGGTATGTGCATACACTACACTACACACACATACACTAAATAAATATTTTAAAGCTTTTTTTTTGTTTTTCAAGATAGAATTTCTGTGTAGCTTTAGAGCCTGTCCTAGAATTTTCTCTGTAGACTAGACTGGCCTCAAACTCACAGAGATCCTCCTGCCTCTGTCTCCCAAGTGCTGGGATTAAAGGCGAGTGCCACCACTGCCTAACTTTCAAGCTTTTTAAAATTCTGAACAAAAGTGAGTAAAGGAGATGCAGCAAACACAAGGCCTTGGGCTCAATATCCAGCACCACAGAGACACGTAAAATCGCTATTTACCGATAGTTTTAGCCATGGACAGCCGAGCATTGTCTCAGTAGCAGCAAATCAGCAGGTGAACAGTCACATCAAGATGCCATCTATTTAATTTAGAAACCATTTTTTATTCTGCAATCTCCCTGTGGACTTTGGCCTCAAACTATCCAGTTAATGCAAATATTGAGGTTTCTCAGTGTGTTAGAATAATTACTCATGCAGTCTTTATAGATCTATTTACTAAACCTGAACATAGTTATTGGTTCAATGATGTTTATAGCTCTAACAATCTGAAGCTCTACTCAAGAGAGCAATGTGGATCCACCTCAGAGTTAGAGCTGAAGAGGCAGGCAAAGATTGATGTGCATTTTCAGTAACTCATCAAAAAAGATGCTGATGGCTATAGTTAGCAACCTAAGACTACTAACTCCATAAAAAAGCATTAGACACGAAGCCTCCATGGTCGTTAGTAAGGAGCAGAGGCGCCGTGTGTTAGGGTCTACAAGAGATAAAGGGTGGCAGAGGGACAGAATGAGGGCACTGGCTTGGGGAATCTGGCAGAGTCACTCGATGTCATCACTATCCAACTCTTCCAAGGTGGGAGCTACATTCCACAAAATTCCTGTCCACACAGCATCCAGGTTACTGCATGACAGGAACTCTAAAATTGGGGAAATGCAAGTGAGGGAGGTCATGATTTTTGGAAGGCAGTCAGAAACAGCGGGCATCGAGGCATTCCCTTGCCAAGTTCACACAGCCCTCTCCCCACCCCAATGCTTGGGCTGTTTCTCAGCTCATCGCACCAGCAACCTTCACATTACCACAAGGCCACAGACTACGCATGGCTGGTGAGGTCATGGATCTTAGAGAAGAACCTAGTTCCAGCACTTTCCTAAACCAGTATAATTCGTAACTGCACGCTAAATAGCTACCCTTATAGTCACACACAAGCGTAGAGCTCAGCCCTCACCCAGGAAGATTCCTCTGCAGCAGAGAGCATTACACAACTGCTCGAAATGCAGAGAACTGGCCATAGGATACCCAGCCCCAGTGGATGCACCGACAGCACAAATGACACGTAGAGGATCATCAAAGAGGAGGTGAAAAGATTCTGAGAGGCAGAGAACAAAGTTGCCGCTTGTGATGGTGTCCTCGAGCTATGGCAGGGAAGCTACACCCATGAAATGGCGACAACACGGCTGCCCGAACAAGACCTGAACACTTCTAATGCCAGCTGCCATCCCAACATAGACGGGCACGGCTCATGGGGCCTGGCCCCTAGATGAAGAGCTACAGGCAAGTAACAATGCTGAGAGAAGAAAAGCTCGTCTTTCTCAGGGATGAGTCTCCTCTTTGGTTATTCAATGTCAAGGAGTCCTAGACACATGCACGCCAGACAGCACTGAAAGGACACAGTGAACTAGCTGTGCTTCTGTTTGCGCATGTGTACACCTAACAACAAGGGTTAAAGAGGAGGAGGACATGCGAGCCAGAGAGATGACTCAGTGGTTGGGAGTACTGGTTGCTCTTCCAGAGGTCACAGGTTCAATTCCCAGCACCCACATAGCAGCTCAAGACTTTCCATAACTCCAGTTCCAGGGGTTCCAACACCCTCACACAAACACACATGCAGGCAAAACATCAATGCACATTAAAAAAAAAAAGAGGAGACTATGAATTTGGGAGGGAGTGTGGTTGGGGGCAGACATGACATAAGAAAAAAAAAGGAAAGGGGACATAATGTAATTATATTTTAATTAAAGATTGTTAAACCCTCATATTATGAAAAAGATCAAAGAGAAATAAATGAAAACAAGTAGGAGAAAAAGCAACACGAGATGTGAGAGAGTAGCAACGCAGAATGGAGAGAATGGAGAAAGAGGAGTTGAGGCTGGGGCCATCTTAAGAAGTCACTAACATGGAGTGTCTTTCCCAGCCGACAACCTAAGGATGCGCAAACTCAACCTCACACACGTGAGCTCGGCTTCTCTTGGAAATGATCAGGGTTCAGCGATGGGCCACCAGCTCCAACATTTCGGTCGACTAACCTGCTGCCCTTTCCAGGTAAAGGGAGTTTAGAATGACTACTCTACAGTCTTTTGTCATTCTCTGGCAATCAGTTCTAGTCCCAACAACTTCACCACATCCTCTCCTGCCACCATAACCCAAATCAACCCCACCTTTGGCCTCACTTATAGCAGCAGACGGTCACTTTGCTTTAGCCCTTTGGTCACCTATGCCTTACAGCATGACCTATGTCAAAACAGAATGGCAGAGCTTATCTATTACGAATCCAAACAAATGCTGGACAAGGACCAAGAACAGCAAATGCTTTTAGAACAATGTTCTTTGAGATCATTGAACTCAAACTTCAGTATTCCTGGCAAAGTGACCCAGTTGCTTAAATGCTTGTATGCTTAACTGTATTTATCAGAACAAAGTCCACTTTGCAACAAGTGAGGCAGAAGCCACCTTTCAGTTCCCTTCCAGTAATATTCTTCCTCCTTAAATACTTCCGCTGTGGCTTCTCAAGGCCCCCCTCAGGTTCTCCTGGAGGACGCCCCCTGGATTTGGGTCTAGGCAAGCCTCATGTCCTTCCTCAAAGCCAAAGGCAAAGGCTGAAGGTATAACCAACACACATTCCATCTGGATGCCAACTGATCAAGGAGTAAAGCCCAAATTCAGCATGTAGTGAATAAGCATGAACTTGAATTTTAGGCATTCATCAAGATTTCATTCTTAGACTGCTTTAAGAAATCGGTATTGTATAAGTGTGTATATGCATGAACTTCTGTGTGTGCAGGTGCACGTGCACACTGTGTTACATGCGTGTAGAGGCCAGGGCACAATCTCAGACGCCATGCCCCAGGTGTCATCCACTTTGTTTTCCAGACAAGGTGTCTCATGGCCTGCAACTGTCTCTGCCTCCCCAGTTCTGGGACGACAAGCATGCACCACCACATCTGTCATTTTCAAAACACAGGCTCTGGGCTGACCACACAGATCCTCACACTTACAAGGCAGGCATTCTGCCCACAGGGCTATCTTTCCACCCCCTAACTTATTGGGGTTTTTGTATTTTAAGAGTTTTTTAATGTATTATTGTATCACATCATCACTTGAGAAAATGTATCCTTAAACCTTAGGTTTGAAAATAACAACACAGGAGCAGAAGAGGAAGAAAAGAATAAGTTTCTGGCCAAGTGTCAGCACCAGGATAGTTTCGGAGTCTTTTCAAAAGTAGAATAACAGACGTTAATTGCAGTACATCATGAAAGAAACACCCATCCTCTTCCAAGCACACTGGTTATTCCAGAAGTTTCCAGAAAAATAACTGCTTTCTCTGCAAATAACGAATGGTCACTCACAAGTCCTATTATGCCCGCACTGTTTTACAGAGTACAATATTAAGGGCTTTCTGTTTAAGTAATCCTTTTAAACACACAGCTTCTCTTCCATGTTGGTGTTCTATTGTCACTGTGGTGAGGGCGTGGAGGGGTTACCTGTTTTTCCTTCCTTCCTTTCTTTCCATCTTCTTTTTTTTTTTTTTTGAGACAGTCTCACTGTGTAGTTCTGACTATCCTGGAACATCTATGTAGACCAGGCTAGCTTTGAACTCATAAAATCCACCTGCCTCTGTCTCCTGAGTGCTTGGCATTAAAAGCCCATGCCACCACTCCTGGATGGATGCTTGGTTTACAACATGAGACAGGATCTGGTGATGTAACCTAAGCTGGACCGGAACTTGTCATGTAGCATTGGATATTTTTAAACTTATGATCTAGCCCTGTCTCACTGGGGTTTTATTGCTTGTTCTTTGTCTTGCTTTTAGATTTATTTTACATGTAAAAGTATTTTGCCTGTGTGGTGGTTTCAATAAGAATGGCTCCATGGACTCATACATTTGAGCGCTTAGTCACCAGGGAGTGGCACTATTTGAAAGGATTAGAAGGATTAAGAGGTGTGGCCTTGTTGGAGGAAGTGTGTCACTGGGAGTGGGCTTGGAGGTTTCAAAATTCCATGACAAGTTCAGAGTCTCTCAGCCTATGGATTAGGTCACAGCTCTCAGCTACTGCCCACCATGATGATAATGGTCTAAACCTCTCTCTTACACTAGTTGTCTTGGTCCTACAGTGACTAAGGCACCTTGCGTGTATACCTATGGACCACATGTATACCCGGTGCTCTCAGAGGTCAGAAGAGGGTGCCAGAGCCCCCGGAGCTGGAGTTAGATGGCTGTCGATCCCCGTGTTGGTGTTGGGAATCAAAAGCAGGTCCTCTGTAAACGTAACAAGTACTCAACTCCTGGGCCGTCTGTGTAGCCTCTTGTTAGTATTTTGCTTTTTGAGAAGGTGTTTCTGTGTAACCCTGACAGGCCTCAAACCCACAACAGTCCCCATGCCTTCGCCTCCTGCATGCTTTGATCTCAGGGCTTTCCAAGTGCTGAGTAGGAACCAGGGGCAGGAGTGGAGGAGATGCAAACCTTAGAGCAGGGTTGGCTCTCTCCACAACAGCACGTTCCAGAACAAACACCAGGAGAATCATGAATTCTAAATATTATGTTGAACTTTCAGACTGAAAAGAAAATTTATTCCTGAGCAGTGGTGACGCACACCTTTAATTCCCTCAATTAGGGAACAGAGACAGGCAAATCTCTAAGCTTAAGGCCAGCCTGGTCTGCATAACAAGTTTCAAGACAGTCAGAGCTACACAGAGAAACCCTGTCTTGGAAAACAAAAACAAACAAAAAAAGAGAGTAAAATATTTAAAGTTTCCAAGTTTATATAATCTTAAACTATGTAAATATATGTCATGTGAGTCCCAAGCCCAACTGTTAGAGAAGCCATATCTAAGCTGGGCATGGTGGGGTACATCTTTAATCCCAGTACTCAGGAGGCAGAGGCAGGTTTGAGGCTAGCCTGGTCTACATAGTGAGACCCTGTCTGGAAAACAAATCAAAATAGGCCAGGTGTGGTCTATTTTAATCCCAGCGCTTGGGAGGCAGAGGCAGGCGGATCTCTGTGAAGTTCAAGGCCAGCCTGGTCTACAGAGCGAGTTCCAGGACAGCCTCCAAAGCTACAGAAAAACCCCGTGTTGAAAAACCAAAAAAGAAAAATCAAAATGACAAAGAAGATCTACCTAGATCTTATGAAGAGCTGACACTGGGGCTGAAGAGTTGTCTCGGCAGCTGCTCTTGCACAGAAAGCACGTTCAATTCCCGGTACCCATAGAGATGGCTGCTTACGACCTCTATAACTGCAGTTCCAAGGACTCCGATGCCCTCTTCTGGCCTCTGGGGTCACTAAGCACACACTGTGCACATGTATACATTCAAGTAAAACATTCATACATAGATTTTTCCATTGACATGATCACAGCGGTTAAGTGAGGTTTGCAGAATGGTCTTCTCTTCTGAGGTCCTGCCAGGGCCAACTCATTGCCCCTGCTCAGGCTCCAGCTTACATATCATCTTCTCAGAGGATGGGTTCTAGACACATCAGCGACTTCTCCAGAAGGGATCTGAAGCACCTGCCGGGTTTTCTTCATTCCCCTACTGAGGCCTGAAATGAGCTGTCAGGAGAATCTTTGGAATGAGCACTCCAGCACTGAGGAGGGTGGGAGAGAGGACAGGTCACCAGTGACCACGGCTCCTGAAAGGCGTCACCCCAGGTCATTTGCATTCTCATTTTACACACTAAAACCACCAGGTGGAGCAGGCAAGCAAGCAAGATTTTATGGAAGCACACATGACAGACAGTGTGCCTGAAACCCGTTGTTCTGGGTATTTTCCAGGTCATTCTGTTTCAGGCACCAAGTGAAGTCATGCTTGGCAAATGTGCAGTGCCTTAAGTAAATCACTGCAGAAATCAATAAATCAGTGTCCAATCACTGGTGTGTTCTACCTCATTTTTACTTCAGATTTATGTCAGCTTCATGCCTGCACTGTCATTCACTGTACTGCTTGTCGTGCCTGGTGTGCTGGTGCATCCCAGCACTTGGGAGGCAGAGGCAGAAGACCTCTGATTTTAAGATCAGTTTGGACTACATAATGAGTTCCAGGCCAGCCATGGTTAGAGAGAGACACCCTCACTCAAAAAGAGGAGACTATTCAGGGTTACTTGTTTATTTATGAGAGTCTGCCAGGAGACCAGGAGAGAGCATCGGACCTCCTGGGGCTGGAGTTACGGACAGAGACAGCCTGACACATGGTGGGCCCTAAAATCCAGTTCCATGGAGGTAAGAGTTCTTTTCTTCAGATACTTGGGGAAAGACTGGAGAGGTCCGTGCTGTCTGCTGTCCCCGGCTGGGCAGATCTTGGAGGCCTACTCGTCTTTAATGTAGGTAAGTGCTCTTAACCTCTGAGGCATTTCTCCAACTCATTTACAATGAGACCATTAGAAAGTGTTTATATATCCAATAATGGATGATAAATCAAACTGTGGAGTTATATAATATAAAAGGATATAACCAAGTGTGTGTTGGCCACGCCTTTAATTCCAGGACTTAGGAGGCAGAGGCAGGAGGACCTCTGTGAGTTCAGAGCCAGCCTGATCTACAAAGCAAATTTGAGACCCTATCTGAAAAAGAAAAAGCATATACCAATAAAGTATATAAATGGATTAACTAGGCTGGGTGGTGGTGGCGCATGCCTTTAATTCCAGCACTCGGGAGGCAGAGGCAGGCGGATCTCTGTGAGTTTGAGGCTGGGCTGGACCGATATAGCCTCCAAAACAATACAGAGAAACCCTGTCTTGTAAAAACCAAAAAAAAAAAAAGATTAACTGACATAAAAAGATCTGCAGTATATATTTTAATTGGTCAGTTTACAGAAGCTCTACTTTCAACTCTACTAATCACAAACCTATATACTATCAGAATTTGCCTACTCCACCCTAATAACTGCTAATGTGGCCTAGCATCAAAGGAGGCAAACATTATTGCTCTTCAGGTGATATGGGAAAGCAGGTTTATATTCTCAGGTGAGAGAACCCCAGGAAGTTTCAGGGCACCTTGTCAGTCGAAAGTATTTCGCATTCTCTGAGGTTATAGATAGAGAAAGCAACCACAAATAACACAGGTTCTTCTAAGCAGAGAGGACTAAGTAATACACGGAAGAGGAAGTAGGAAAACTTACTGCAGTGGACAATCGAGAAGCCAGTGTCATTTCCAAGTTCCCTTTGAGACCAAGAAGTGCAGGGACTAAAATGAAAACTTCTGTCACGTTCTTGAACACCTCCCAGTGCTGTGAAACAAAAGGAAACAACCGCTCTTTAGAACAAGGATGTTTCTAAAGACCTCAGGGTTTTACTTCCAAATTTGCTTTCCTTTTTGTTGTTGTCACTGCTATTGAAACAGGGTCTCACCATGTGGCCCTGGTTGGAGTGAAACTCAGTATGCAGACCAGACTGGCCTCAAACTCAGAGACCGGCCTGCTTCTGCCTCCCGAGTGCAGAGATCAAGGCGTGCGCCAGCCGCCTGGCTTTGCTTCCATGTCTAAAGGACAGCACAGGCCGTCAGGGAACACGTGCCCTCCTGAGGTCACGATCTGAGTGACTTTAAAGATTCAGCTGGCGTTGGCTCAACATCTGATATAACTGCATCCCGTTCTACAGCTAACACTAATAACGTAACTAACCTCGGGCTTCTAAGATTTTCTGTGTCACACCCTGTTGGGGAAGTCCTGTGTATATGTCAATAAATTACTGCTGGCCAATAGGAATCTAGATAGGTGGGGCTAGGAGTCCAGGAGGATTCTGGGAAGGAGAAAGACAAGAGAGTCAACATGTGACGCCATGGGAGTAGGACACCGGGAACTATTCTCCGGTAAGAAACATACTTAGATTAACAATTATGGGGTAATTACTTAAAGCAGAGCTAGCCAGTAAGAGACAAACAAGGCCAACAGCTTCATAATGAATATAGCCTCCTGTGTGTGTATTTGGGACTCATGCGGATCTAGAACCAGGCTGGCGCGGCAGAGCCCAGGTGACTGGCGGGGGATAAACCAAATCGGCAAGCAAGGAAAAAGCTTCTCTTAACATAATGGTGATCAGGAGTGGGATTGAATTTCCACGCAGAATGACAAAAGCTTTAAAGGAATTTTAGAAACAGAAGAACGGAGAGAAGCACAGATTTTTGGTAGCAGCATTTTTCTCAGGTGTGCTCTGTTTTGCTAACGACAAGCCGAGATTCACTTGGCTTGCTTACGGAGTCTTCCTGACTCGGCATAAAAAAAAGAAAAAAAAAAACAGCAAGATTGTTTTAAGAGACTCTGCTAACGATTGAAAAGTGTGTACGTACAGCTGGAAGTGGCAGCTTTTGCTGGATGTCAGCATGGACTGAGGCAGTAAGCTGGAATCAAGCTTATGCCCGCCATCTTGAAAAAAAAAAAACGGCAGTTTAAAACAGCCACGGTTTTACAGATAAGACACGTGGCCAGGAAAACGTAAAGATTTACAGTAAAGTCAGACTTGGATGAACAAAACCTCTAAAGGTTTACAGTGTGTTTAAAAATATACGTGAGATTGAGAGAGAAAATGAAACGGCAAAGTGGTAAATAAATACAAAAGCCGGCGTTGTGGTGGCGCACGCCGGTAGGAATTGCTCCAGAGGCAGAGGCAGGCGGATTTCCAAAGAGACACCCTGTCTCAGAGAAAAAGAAATAAAAGTGAAAGAAATAAAGTAATAATAGATAAATAAATAAGCCACGTAAATATGGAAAATACACAGAGAGTCTGGATACTGTACGCTATTGTGTTTTTCAGTTTTTTGCTTGCTCAGGAAGGAACTGCTGCTAAAATACACTTGATTATAAATGCTGCTGAATTAATCCAACTTCTATCTTTTAAAAATGCCTTGACTTCAAAATTTAAGTGTAAGGATTTGTTACTTGGAAAAGGAGTTTTTATTTATGTTTCCACAGAAAATGAAAAGCTAAGGATTCCTTCCAAGCTTTTGTGGTTTGTCGAACCAAGACCCCCAGAAGCAGTGGACCAGGTGTTCCAACAATCGAAACAGCGAAGATGATGCAGTCTTACAGATCCCGAAAATATGGACTTATACTGGTTTCTGAGTTTTGTCATGATCCCCAATGGTATAAACAGCGCCCCCTTCCAGCAGGAAGCAGTTTGGAATGAGCGACGTCCCAATTCCCATGTTGTTTATAAATCTTTGTTTTCATTTAAAGGGGATTGTTTATAATTGGCTAGTGATCACAGCCAATCCTTTTTAATGGTAAAAAGGGGAATTATGGTATGGGTATTGTTTTTCATTTATTGATACAAATTGAAGGTCAATTTTGTGATGTGTATATTTCTCCTCTTGATTAAGTATTGTGCTTATACTGATCTTTTAAAACATAATGCATGATTGAATACAGACTATAGATAGTTACTTACAATAGAACTTATAGTTAGGTAAGTTAGGTTTTCTAGATATACAGAAATATATTTGAGATAGATAGCAGTCTTCAAACCTCTCAAAGACCTTCAGAACATGGCATTTAAAATGGTTTAGGGTTTGTCTTGACAATGAGAAATGTCTGCTCCTGGCAGCACCAATTACATCTGAGAGGAAGATGGGCATCGAAGAAACCTGTTATGGAGTTTGCTTTCAACATGGCAAGATTAGCCATTTGGGCAAGAAACTGCTCTTGCCTAGACTGTTTGACTGTTGTTGTATCATCTGGACATGCAGGACCCACAGGAAAGTGACTGCTGAACTCAGTCTTACAGGGTTTCTGCTTCATGGAAGAGTCTAGGAGACGTTCTGCAGGACAAAGAAAAATGACTGACAGACTGCCAATGCAGATGGACAGTTTGAAATTTCCTGCTTTGCTGAGAAGTGTTCCAGACACATTGTGGCCTATGGGCTGAAGATGGATGCCCCAACGTTACAGAGGAACTTCGGGTGACTGTCCAGGCAGTTAGATGTCTCTGTCAATCCTAGTGTTTATATATTATCCTTCTGTGGTCTTTGATGGAGTTGAAGACAGATAGTTATAATTATAGTTTTCCTTAGTTATGATAAAAGATAAGCTACATATAGGACTTTGGACTCACAAGGATGGGATGGATGATATTTTCTTTAGATCTTGCTAAATGTTAATAGACAAAATGTTGTAACTGTGTTCTTACTTGATAACTGTTCTGTCATATACAATTTGACTATGTTAAAGTTAAGACCTTTCTTTTTGTTTAAACAGAAAAGAGGAGATGTTGTGGAAGTCCTGTGTATATGTCAATAAAGTACTGTCTGGCCAATAGGAATCTAGATAGGTGGGGCTAGGAGTCCAGGAGGATTCTGGGAAGGAGAAAGACAAGAGAGTTCAACATGTGACCGCCATTGGGAGTAGGACAGCCTGGAACTATTCTCCGGTAAGAAACATACTTAGATTAACAATTATGGGGTAATTACTTAAAGCAGAGCTAGCCAGTAAGAGACAAACAAGGCCAACAGCTTCATAATGAATATAGCCTCCTGTGTGTTTATTTGGGACTCATGCGGATCTAGAACCAGGCTGGCGCGGCAGAGCCCAGGTGACTGGCGGGGGATAAACCAAAGCGGCTAGCAAAGAAAAAGCTTCTCTTAACAACACCCTTTTGTCCTTTATTGGCATTGCTCAAGATGGAGGAGTCCACGGCCTATCACATTCTAGGCAAGCATTCTACCCCTGAGCCATGTTGCTATGTGGCTTGAGATTTTAAGACAGCTCAGTCTGGCTATTAACTCACGACTGTCAGTCTTAAACTTGTGATCCACATGGCTCTGCATCCCAAATGCCAGAAACCAGGCTTTCCCAGTTATTTTACCATTTCATGTGACAGAGTCCATGTAGCTAACGGTTAAGAGCTCAGCATATGGGACTGGGTCGTCTGGAATTTAGTCTGGGTTTTAGCACTACTTAGAACAATTTCATAAGAAAATTAGACTGTTGTTATTAAGTTTACAGATGAGGAGCTAAGAATTCCAAGAGATATAATGATATTCCCAAGGACAAAAGGAAGGAAGGAAGGGAGGAAGGGAGGAAGGAAGGAAGGGAGAAAAACGAAAGAAAACACATTGAGAGTTAGCATCTGAAGCAGCTAGTCATCCTAGAGTAATAAGCTAAGAGGTGGCATAACACAGAGTCATAAAACCACCACCAAACTGGAAATGATTCTCTTAACACACGGTGTCACTCTGTAGCTCTGGCTGTCCTGAACTCCCTATATAATGGAACAGATTGGTCTCAAACTCGTGATGCTCCTGACTCAGCTTTCCCTGGTGCTTGGATTTCCAGCATGTGTCACCATGCCCCAGTGAAACAAAACTCATACCTCTAGGGATAGACCTGTCACAGCTGATTATGACACCCTGGAGGAGTCAGACTACCTCTCAAATGTCACTATCTCCATCAATCAAATGAAGATAGCAAAAAAGGACCCTCAAAAAAATACCATAAAGTTAACAGATACAAAACTGCATTCTAAATTGAAAAGATCATAGAAATACTTAATAACACAAGGAGGCATTTTACAAATGCAATTAAAATGGGATTATCCCAGGAGGAGACTTTATGAGCTGGCATATCAACTCAACTCGTGCCAGAAAGAACAGGTCTTTGTCATTGATAACAAAACAGGTGAAATCCATCAGAGACGCAGGAAAACAAGACCCTTCTATTTGCCTATAAAGTCGCTAAATAAAAGAAGAACCGGGACCTGAGGAAAGTGGACCAGAGCCCTGGTGGGAAGTCATCTGGGGTTCAAGGGAATAAGCATATAAAAGAAGCACTGGCTGGGTCAGGCAGTGGTGGCACACACCTTTAATCTAGCACTTGGGAAGCAGAGGCAGGTGGATTTGAGAGTTCAGGGCCAGCCTGGTCCACAGGGCAAGTTCCAGGACAGCCAGGACTGTTACACAGAGAAACCCTGTCTTGAAAAACAACAACATCAAAGAAACACTGACTGGGTGAGTCAAGGCTGTCGACAAGACCGACTACCCAAGTTCTACCTCAGAACCTTTGGAGAAGGGAAACAACCCTGGGAGCCGTCCCCTGACCTCCACGTCAGCACCATACGCATACACATACAATACACACAAATACAAAAACGCTTTAAGCACTGGAGCCAGCTGGGGGCATAGCTCAGGGACTGAGGGCCTCCTGATGCATGAGAGGCTGTGTCCACACACAAATGGAGGCGGAGCAGGGGTGAAGGAGGCGGAGGAAGTAAAGGAGGGGAGGGTGAAGCCAAGAAGCGCGGCGGTTTGGGTAGGGAGATGAGGAACGAATGGAAGAGAGCCCATATTTAGCACTACATTGCTTGAGTTCATTTTAATGAGCGCATGTACATTTTTTATTTTAAAGTAAAATGTTTCAACATACTGCTTGCTTACTGGGCTTGTGTAGGAGTGAACCTCACAAAGCTATCCGGCCATGAGGGCGGGGACAAGTAAATTAGCACAGGTAGAGATAAAAGGAAGCAAAAGGAAAAAGGACCTCCTCTTTTGGAAGGCGGCCACGCTTCTAACTCCTAGCTTGTGTGACTCTCTCTCTCTCTCTGGTAAATAAATATATTGTATCCCCTATAGCATCGGCAATCATCATTAGGCTTGTCTCTTACTTGGCTTGCTTTTGGGTTTGTAACAAAGAGTTACTTCATTTGGCATGTGAGTTCTATCCACGGCATGGGAAAAAAGACAATTTTCTAAAAGAGAAGTTAACAGAGATAAGAGTTTCTCAAGCCATTCACTGCACAAAGGGATAAATTAAATCTAAGATAAGGCTTGAATGCAGAGGCTACAGCTCAGACTCCTACCACACATGATGTTCCCACAGCAAAGATAAGTGCTTGAGATACGTATCCTACATCAAACATTTTTAACAAAAAAAGTGGTCAAGCCAGATGTGGACGCACGCCTGTAACCCCAGCACCTGGGGTGGGCATGGAGGGCTGGGGGTGGGGCTAAGGCTGGACAGGCAGCAAGTTCAAAGCCAGTCAGAGGTGGACCGTGAGACCCTATTGGAAGACGGGCGACGAGGAGGAACAGAAACAAGAAGGGAAGCGGAGAGGAGGGAGACGAGGAGAAGGGGTGAGTAAAGCATAAGGACTAGATTCAACCCTCAGAACCTAGGCTGAAAACAAGAAACCAGTTGGGAGGGATAGCACACACCTCTACCCCCAACACTGGGAGGCAGAATCAAGGACGTTGGATCTCTGTGGGTTCAAGGCCAGCCTGGTCTACATAGTGAGTTCCAGGTCAGCCAGGGAGATGTGGAAATTCTTGTTTCAACCAGAGAGCCGAGCACAGTCGCACACTCATAGTCCCAGTGCTGAGGAGACAGAGACAGACTGGACCCCTAGAGTCTCACCGGCTGCCAACTGGGTCAGTACCTTCCAGGTAGAAGTGAGAGATCCTGCCTCACAAAACAGGGTGGAAAGCAACTAAGGAAGACATCCAAGGCTGACCTCTGGCACACATGTGCACTAGCATGCGTGAGCGCGCACACACACGAACACACGCATGAGCATGCCCACACACTCACATGTGCATACTCACACACGTGCACTCATACACGCATGCACACACACACACGAACACACACGCACACGTATGAGCATGCCCACACACTCACATGTGCATACTCACACACGTGCACTCATACACGCATGCACGCGCACACATACACACACATTCTTGCAGACTGAAACTAAAGATGAAAACCCACCTGTACTATGTCTAAAACCATGCCGGCAGACACTGTTCCAAACCCAGCCAGCAAGAACGGCACGAGTATCTGCAGAGCCATGATGCCGCTGGACTCCTTGGGTAGCTTCTGGTTTGTTTCCACAATAACATCATCGCCCTCACTGGACAGATCTTCGTCCTGTAACATGGCGGTGGTTTCCGAAGCCTCCCTTTCGTCGCAGTAGTTATAGCCGGCATAGTCGTCGTACTTGGGGCTGCAGCTGGCTGGAGCATGCCCACTGCTGCTGTGGAAGGCCTGCTCTGAGAACTCGTGGTAGTCCAGATGTGGCTCTGACCTCCTGTTCAAGGTCTGCACTGCACCTGACAGTCCGTCCTGCCAAATGCCATTTGCTTTTTTATGCCTGTCTTCCTGGTTCTTCTGGTAAATGACTGGCACCATACTTAAAAGCAAGTTCAAAAACTTGTCAGACTGAATTGTGTTTAAATTTAAAGTCCAGTCTACAAAACCTCCTCCACTATCTGGACTGCCACTTGTCTTGCAAGTGACAGATCTTCCTTTACTGTGAGTCATATTGTCATCCCAAAAAGCACTGTGTCCTTCAGACTCAAGCTTCGTGGATCATAGCAGAAGCAAAGCCACACCAGCACTTGCCGAAATTAAGCCATTGACTTTCCTATGCAGAAAACGCTTCCTCTGGTTAAAAGCAGTCACAAGTTCCAGAGATGGATTCAATCTGCAAAGGAAAAAATAAAATTTAAAACTTACATTAACCCACTCATACTGATTTTCATATAAGTGCAGGACCCACAGTCTAGTCTATGAGTTGGATGCAGATCTGTTTTGTGACATACAAGTGCATTTTTAATAAAAAATACAGTGCAGAAGCCAGGCGTGGTGGTACACACCTTTAATACCAGTATTCAGAAGGGAGAGGCAGGCAGATCTCTGAGTTTGAAGCCAGCCTGATCTACATAGTGATTTCCAAGCCAGTGAAGATTACAATCGAGATCCTGCTTCAAAAACAACAAAACAAACAAACAAAATGTGTAAACACTTTATAATCTATCTTGGGTAAAAGTGTTTGTATTCTTGTATGTTTCACATAAGTCCATATGAGGTCTTTTGACGCCTGTGAGGTTCTACAGTGGATCCATTTAAGATAAGAAGTGACGGCGGCTGCTGGGCACAGCGGCACACTCCTGTGGAGCACTGAGAAGCCCAAGCAGAGAACTGCCGAAAGATGGAGAGCAGCCTGGGCTGCAGAGTGAGACCCGCTTTCTAACAACGCCAAAGGAGGCAGAGGAAGGAAGCAATGGCTCCTGTCCCTGTGGAGAGCATTCAAAATTAAATTGTGCTTGTTTCTGAGTTTCCGCACCAAAATAGTCTCAGCCCCTTGCACATGTCAATATAAAAGACACAATAAAGTGTTAAACTAATAAGCCATTTCCTCTACTTATAGGTTATTACACATTTTTCATTAAGATATGAAGAGACAAAGGTGACATTTACTGTAAAAAACATTTTATAGGTATCCTGAATACAGTACAGGGCATTTAGTCCACATATAAAACTAGGTTAGAGTCATCTATCATTCTCACATACAAAAAAAATCATTTAATTGACTTAAGAATATATTCCTTAGCCAGGCATTGGTGGTGCACGCCTTTAATCCCAGCACTCAGGAGGCAGAGACAGGTGGATCTCTGTGAGTTCAAGGCCAGCCTAGTCTACAGAGTGAGTTCCAGGACAACCAGGGTTGTTACACAGAGAAACCCTGTCTTGAAATATATATATATGGTATGTATGTATGTATGTATGTGTATATGTATATATATAAATATATTCCTTAGATTATTTAGGAAATAACTCAAAATAATGATAAATATCAGTCCTCCATTTTGTAAGCCAACCAAACAAAGCTGGTAATTCCCTTCCAAGTTCCTCAAGTCTGCTGTGGACTAATGTCCCCAAGTAGGTCTCTGAGTAGCTAGCTAGTGACTAGAGTCTCAAAAGACAAACACAGATAGCTACTGTAGCTAGTCACCAATTGGCACTGAGCTGCCCAGCAGCACCTAACCGCACAGTAACATCATGGCCACATCTATCACAAAGGGTCTGGAGGCCTCAGATGCTTCTCAGGAACACCCACAGGCTGTCTTACACTTCCTGGGGAACCAAGGTCAAGAGCCTGGCACTGATGTGATATGGGACACATGGCCCCCTGCCCTACGGTACTGCTCACCTACCAAGCTAAACTGTACTGGTGACTTCATGACACTTTCATCATCAAGGTGTCCTCTCCTCGGTTGAAGTGACTGAGCACCAAGCATGACAAGAGGAGAAGCACATGAGGGTCTGTAAGACAAGCAGGCACTGGGGCTGGCGTATCTGTCTTATTGTTCCCTCTTCTTCAGCACTGGGAGAAACCCGGTAACTACTGCTAAGGAACATTCTTACAGCGTTGGCTCAAAGACCCCAGGCCTCCTGATTCAGAACATCTATGCATGTGTGGTCCTGTGTTCTTAACTTCCGCAGGGGACTATGGTACTGACTTCTATGGAGTGGCGCCAGGAATCCAGTGACTGATTAAGTACTACAGTTGGACCTCCGTATACGAGGGTTGTTCCACAGCTGCAAACCCAGCCAGTTACAGATGGAAAACATTTGGGAGGGTGTACCTACGGGCTGGTGGGTAGCTCATTGGCACAGCTCTTGCCTAAACATGCACTATGACCTATGTTTAAGGCCAGCACCATAGAGACTGGACTTGGTGGCACACATGATGCAATCCCAGCACCACAGAGATACAAGCAGGGAATCAAAAGTTCAAACTCATCTGCAGATGTACGGAGTTCAAGGCCAGCCTGGAATACATGAGATCCTGTCTCAAAGAGGGGAAAGCATCTTACTGAATAGGTACTACTGGTTGTTCTTGTCGTCAGTCCCCAACAATACAGAATACAGACAATTCAGCTCTGGCCGGCTGAATGAGAATGGCCCCTGTAGGCGCAGATTTGGATGCTCACTCCCCAGCTGGTGAGCTGTCAGGTATTAGCATGGGCCTTGCTGGAGGAGGTGTGTCACTGGAGGTGGGACTGAGGCTTCAGAAGCCCATGCCTGGCCAGTCTCTCTGACTGCTGCCTGCAGATCAGCTGCGGCAGCACCATGACATGCCTGTCTCCCTGCCCGATGATAATGGGCTAACCTTCTGAAACTGTGAGCAAGTCCAACATCAATTCTTCTTTTATGAGATCTGCCCTGGCCATGGTGTCACTTCACAGCAACGGAACAGCAACTACGACATGTGCCGTTTATACTATCTCAAGTGCTATAAGCAATCTGAGTGCTTTTATTTTCTGTGCCTCTGAGGACTGAGCATAGGGCTTTATGCAGACTGTGCAAGTATTCAACCTGAGATTTCACCCTAGCTGCTTTTACTTTTTATTTTGAGGCAGAGTCTCTCCATGTTTCCCTGGCAGACCTTGAATTTGTAATCCTTCTGCCTCATTCTCCAGAGTAGTTGGGATAATGGGCCTGCACAGCCATGCCCAGAAACAGAGAGAAAAGCTGGGTGTGGTGGCACACACCTTTAATCCCAGCACTCTGGAGGCAAGACCTGCAGGTCGCCTCGACCTGGTCTGCATAGCAAATTCCAAGCTGGCCTGCATAGTGAAGTTCCAGGACAGCCAGAGCTAGGTAGTGAAACCCTGTGCAGTGGAGGGGGGCAGGGGGCAGACAGAATAAATCAGAAGCTGCACTTTTCGTAATATCCCTGGTGATTTCCATACATAATCAAGTGTAAGAAGCACTTTCTTTTCTTTTTTTTTCTTTTCTTTTTTTTTTCTGTATTGTTTTGGAGGCTGTTGGTCCAGCCCGGCCTTGAACTCACAGCGATCCACCTGCCTCTGCCTCCCGAGTGCTGGGATTAAAGGCGTGCACCACCACGGCCCGGCTGAGAAGCACTTTCTAATACATTCAATAATCTGATCTACCCTGGAGACCAAATGTGAATGTGAACTAGTATGTAAATAGTGTGAACACACACTAGTCAACATGCACCCTACAGTCCTAGAACCAAAGAATTCCAAAGCACATACCCTGAAGAAACCCTGTGTAAGACAAGAAGACAAAAAGACGAGAGAGAGAGAGAGGGGGGGGGAGGGAGGGAGGGAGGGAGGGAGGGAGGGGGAGGGAGACAGAGAGAGAGAGAGAGAGACGGGAGGGAGGGAGGGAGGGAGGGAGGGAGGGAGGGAGGGAGGGAGAGAGAGAGAGAGAGAGAATAGAATGTAAGTTGCCAGAGAATGGTTTGAGGGAATAAAAGCACAGGGCCCTTCCTGATACTGCTTATGTAACTTAAGCTTCAAGGTCTGAGCAATCATTTGCATTCATCTTACAAAAGTGCTTAAGGAGAGAGAGACCTGGCTCAATGGTTAACAGCCCTTGGTGCTCTTGCAGAAAACTCAGGTTCAATTCCCAGCTCCAACATGGCTGCTCACAACCACCTATAACTCCAGCCCCAGGGGATCCAACAACCTCTTCTGATCCTCACATATCAGGCACACACACGGTGTACATACATACACGTAGACAAAATGCTCATACTCATAAAATAGTAACTCCAAAAAGTGCTCCAGGATGAGTGCTGCTGTGGCAGATCTTACCATCAATCCCAGACATTGCTTCCCTCCTATGAGAGGATGACGACCTCTACCTGTTGCCATGGTTTCCTGGACACTAATGAGGATGACACATCTTCATCTTCACTGGCATTGACCTCTACCTGTTGCCATGGTTTCCTGGACACTAATGAGGATGACACATCTTCATCTTCACTGGCATTGACCTCTACCTGTTGCCATGGTTTCCTGGACACTAATGAGGATGACACATCTTCATCTTCACTGGCATTGACCTCTACCTGTTGCCATGGTTTCCTGGACACTAATGAGGATGACACATCTTCATCTCTGCTGGCATCAGCAGCCACACACACCAGGAGGAATAATTCAGCTGATCTGACCCCAAATGGCTGCCTTCTTCTCTTCAGGAGTCTATCTGACATACTGAGCAACTAAAGGTTCTGATCAAGAGCTTCCAATTAAGTTTCCAAAGATCTGAATCTCAAAAACCACAGCAATTTCTTCTGATATTTTACCAAGTTAAAAGCTCTTCCCGGGGGCCAGTCAGATGACTCAGCAGCCGAGGGTGATTCACAGCCTGGCTGTGCAAACCCTGAAGACTTCAAGTTCAATCCTGGGAACCCACATAAATGTTGACCAGGAGAATCAACTCCTCAAAACTGCATTCTGACCTACACACACAATAATTATAATAATAGTAGCAGCAATAATGATGATGATGATAAATAAAAGGTTTTAAAGTTTAAAATACTACACATTGCCGGGTGGTGGTGGCACATGCCTTTAATCCTAGCACTGGGGAGGCAGAGGCAGGAGGATCTCTGTGAGTTCGAGGCCGGGCTGGACCGATAGCCTCCAAACAATACAGAGAAACCCTGTCTCATAAAAACAAAAAAAAAATACTACACATTTAGGTTCATGGAAAACTTCATGCATGTCCCCTGAAAGGCCTGCCCCAGCTTATCACTAGTTAAAGAGTTGTCCCAGGGTAACACACTTAATAGAGATAAGGACCAGGCACTCTGTTTGAAAGCAGTTTGAATCATGAGAATTTTAGCATTGATGCGAAAAGTGTTTCTTTTTAAAAGATGAA